GAACCAACTCTACATGTTTCGTACTTTAGTAACGTAGAGTCGTCTAACGTTTTAGAAGGCCAATAAGTAGGACCTAAATAAATTAGTTTAATTGTGTACCAGTTTAACGTTGAATATTATTTATGATTTTAACATTACTATACATAAGAAAAATATTATTATTCCATTGATGATGTTGCAGTTTTCAATGACTCTTAGGAGTCAAGAGTCTGTTTTTAGAATATTTTATGTGAGTTATACGTCAACTTCTGGAATAATTTCACTGAAGCTATACACTTTTATATACAACTATGTTATATGATTTATTATATGGACAACTTCTTCCTTACATTTAATAAAGTATTTTTAGTAAATCTGGTTCATAGCATGAGAAAAATGTCTTCCTAAGGTAAATAAAACATGTTTTTCTTTTATGCAGAGATGGATAAAGAGAAGCCTGAAAAAATGAACGAGATAAACGAGTGCGACACAAAAGTTTTTAGTGAAAAGGCAGATTGGGTAGGTGTTTGGAGTAGTATAATTAATCTGTTTCGTTAATTTATTGTAACTTGGTAAACAATGTTTTGCTAACGTGAATCTTCTAACTTTAACCGATTTTCTCTTCAGCGAAAGACCTGCTTGATATAAAAATTATGTTTGAAATTTCATTTATGTTGAGGGTTAGTTTGATGCATTAGTAATAGATGCTGAGACAATATTCAAATATAATAGAAAATTATTTAACGCCTTTTCTGTACTTCTACTGGAATATTATACAATGATTAAAACTTGAATTTGTTACGAATACTAACAAACCAGTTCCAGTTTATAACTGATATTTAACAAACTTTAAAGTTGGAAAAGGAAATCCAGTCATAAACAAAAAAAATTCCTTCTGTAAACTACACCGTAGTATAGATGTATATTTCATCATATTGTTATATGTAGACATAAGTCACAGGTCTGGAATAATGTGATAGTAATTTCATCTTACTTCCTTGTTTTAATTGTATTTTTAATTCTCTGTCTTTGTTTCAAGAACGTAGTATACTTTCAGTTAATTGTAAACAAACCGAAGAGAAGCATATTTGAAAGCAGTTATAATACAAGTTAGAACAATTATATTGTTCCTGACACATAAATTCATGTTTACAATTAAATGTTATGAAACCATAATTGTAGAATGTAATATTAAAGTTGATGTAACAGAAAGTGTTTTTCATCTTCAGCTTCCACGTGCAATTCGAGAGTGTCGAAATGCAATATTTGCTACAGAGAATTTTGACGACTTCTTAAAAGAAATGTGCAAAGAAGAAAGAGAAATGGATGTACAGGTGATGACTACTCTCTTCTTATAAACTTTATTTTAGGCTGTTGTATGAAGGATTACCATAGTAACAAGATTCTTTTATATAATCACGAATAAGCTTTCCGTGCTCTACAGAAACTGTAATTTTTATAACATACTTAAGAAATAAAATAAATGAGGTTTCGGTACCGTACAGATATTTTATCAAACTTAGCTATAGCACCTAGAATAAAATTTGTAACTGATGTCACTCGAGAAGTTCCATATAGCCTTGATAGGCGTAGCTTTAATCTTGAAATCGGGTCCATGTCCATGTCCAAAGTAGTTACACTCACTGGTGTTTTTCAGATTTTCTAACGTCAATGTTCGAAATGTCTCTTTTTAAACTATACTTAACAATTAATTTGATTAAGGATAGATACAACTATATATATAACTATGTGCTACAAAGGAACTGTTGCGTCATGTACTTTGGCGAATGTTCAAGTTCTTACTAGATATAGGGGTCTCTCGTGCTCTCTGACTGCAGTTCAATTACTCACTATCTACACCTTACCGCGTCACGTTGTCCCCTCCTATATATATATATCCGCCCAAATCTCAACAATCGCGCTAAACAAACGCTGTAACTCTGCGATACACTTGGTATATTCGGAAAGAATAAACCAGTTTTATTAAGTAAAGACTTGTGTCGCTTAAGTTTCGTCGGAACGAAGTTACGGAAAATTAATTAACAAACGGAGACGTAACAATATATACAAATACGAGTCCTTTGACAATTACTTCATAAAACGTATTTTAGTTTATAAGTTTATATACATATATTATTATTTTTTAATTTATAAGACGACAGTCTCAATGTATCTAATTTATTTTTATTTTTTGAGAAAATTAAACAAATTACAAGCTGTGTAATGCGATATTTTTCGATTATCATGCAATTGACAGGGTATATTCTTAGTTTCCAAGACAATGCCGAAAGTAATACATAGGTGTTTGCGGAAGTGTCATACTGAGTTGTTTAAGTTTCCTGTGAGTGAAATAGTGTTAAGAATTACCACTGGGATATTTTTATAGTTTTTGTAATGATTGTATTTGAAGAAACTTGTTCAATATGTCACAGTAAATTTAAATAAGTTATTTTACACGTTTGAGATTAGACTGTGGAATTATGGGTAAGATAGGTTTTTTCCAAATGTCAACTTTTAATTTTATACTTTATAGTAAGTACTTAGTAGAACCTACAAAAACGTAACTAGTTAGGCTTAGCATCAGCGAGTTAAGTGCAATTATTGCTATTTTACTATTACTACTACTACTAGTACAGTTTTACAGATGTTTAGAAAATAAAATGCAAAATGAGATTTGTTTACGACAGTTTATAAACTACTACCACAGTAATATATATAATGTCAATTATATACCAATCATTTAAAAAGTAATGGGCATAATTAGTGTAATTTGAAACTTAAATAATTACTGACAAAAATAGAAGTTACTTGAAAAGTTAGAACTACATAACGAGTGGAGATGATGATAGTATTTAATTTTTGTAAATATAGTAAATATTTATAGAAATATAGGAGGGTAATGTTAATATTATATTGTTACGACAATGTAAGTCACATGACGCTGGTAACACATCATGAGATTCTCGAAGGATCATGACTTTTCCTGAAAACTAGTCTTTTCCAGGCGTCCTCTATTTTAGTATATAAGCCTGGCAAATAATTGCAGATGGAGAGATTGAAGATAGCGAAAATCGAGTCAAGCAGTAAGTAAAGTGTGTGAATCCCTGTGAATTATAGCGTGTTTTTATAAAATTAGTTAAGTTTAAAGTGACTTTGGAAATTAAGTGTATTACAAAGTGTGTAATGAGAAAGAATACAATACAAACTAGTTTTATTTAAGAAAGGACTTGTATCGCTGAAGTTTCTCGGAAAGAGTTTCTACAAAAATTAACCAACGAACGGAAAATTATCAAACGAGCAGAGACTCAACAATATTAATAACGTTACTGTTGTTGGTACAAATTGTATTCTATTTCATTTTTTGCTTTATTTGTTTTTTATTTTGGGATAATTTTAGCCAAACAGACAATACAATTAGTATTACTAATAGTACTCAGTGATACTGATAAATTATGTATAAATTATACATTGTACAGTACTGTCATTCACAACTTTATTTGTGTTATACTTAGGTTGTACCATTATTTAGGTGTGTATTTATAAACATTTGTTATTGTTACATCTCTGTACGTTTGTTAATTTCCCGTAGAAATTCTTTCCGAGAAACTTCAGCGATGCATGTCCTTTCTTAATTAAAACTAGTTTATTTTTTTACAATACCACCTTGCAGTACACAGAATTACCAGAGTCAATATGTTTGCAATCTCGATAACAAAACACACACTTTATATTACCATCACTACTGCTTGCTTGACTCAATTACTTGCCATGAAGATGTTAAAAGAGCTAACACTAAGTGTCAGTATTGATTGATTGGCTGTGCCAGAATTCACTTATTAACTTAACATATGGAAAACTGTAGAGCATTTGGTCCATCAAGGCTGTCCTTGCACACCTACTCTTAGGAAAAGTTGAAATTGAAACTCATCTTTTACTTTACAGGAAATTTCCAATTCCCATTTTAAACTCCACTAAAGTGCTGGCCTCCTCTACTACTGATGGCAGTTCATTCCAGAAGTCTATCATCCTGTTAGAAAAATTAGAAAAAGTGTTATCTGGAATACACGGTGTCTTTTCCAAATCTGTATTGTCTTGTTCTTTTATGGTCTTTATCCTATTACTCTACTAGGTAACCTTGCAAACTTCAATTAAATCACTCATACCTTTCTTTTATCAAGAGAAAATAAGTTGAGCAGTGTTAAATCTACTCCTATAGGATAATCTTACCACCTCTGGAATTATAAATTGAGCAGTGTTAAATCTATTCCTATAAGATAATCTTACTTGTGGTAAGATTATCTTATAGGAGTAGATTTAACACTGCTCAACTTATGATTCCAGAGGTTCTGGAATCATAAGTTGAGCAGTGTTAAATCTATTCCTATAGGATAATCTTACCACCTCTGGAATTATAAATTGAGCAGTGTTAAATCTATTCCTATAAGATAATCTTACCACCTCTGGAATCATAAGTTGAGCAGTGTTAAATCTACTCCTATAAGATAATCTTACCACATCTGGAATCATAAGTTGAGCAGTGTTAAATCTACCCCTATAAGATAATCTTACCACCTCTGGAATTATAAATTGAGCAGTGTTAAATCTACTCCTATAAGATAATCTTACCACCTCTGGAATCATAAGTTGAGCAGTGTTAAATCTATTCCTATAGGATAATCTTACCACCTCTGGAATTATAAATTGAGCAGTGTTAAATCTACTCCTATAAGATAATCTTACCACCTCTGGAATTATAAATTGAGCAGTGTTAAATCTACTCCTATAAGATAATCTTTCCATCTCTGGAATAATAAATTGAGCAGTGTTAAATCTACTCCTATAAGGTAATCTTACCACCTCTGGAATCATTCAAGTAGTTCTCCTCTGATTCTTTACAGCAATGCAGTATTCTTTCTTAGATGAGATCTAAACTCTACACAGTATTCCAAGTGAGGCCTAATTAGTGATTTATATATAGAGATATTTACCTGTTATGATTTTAAATCAGTATGTCTATAAATGCACTCTAAAATTCTGTTGGCTTTGTAATTACACAATAAAGAACTACTTTGATGGCTTAAGTGACTTATGCACCACTGTGCCAAGATCCTTCAGTCACTATTGAGTTGGTTCCCAGCTATATTTAGCATGTGATTTAACTTAAGATAACCCAAGTATGTTCACTGTAATTAAAAATCATTTGCCAAGTATTTTTCCAACTTATCAGTTGATTCAAATCATTATCTAATATCTCATCATCCTTAGAGTTAAACTTTACCAATTATGACACTGTTAATAACATTAATTTAAATAAAAGCACCTGACTAGTAAGAAGGGTACATTCTGTATTGGATACAATTAATAACATACTTTTTCCCCCCCATCTATCCACCCTACAATTCAATAAACTAGTAATTCCCTACCCTCTTTTGATGTGATTTTCTGAGATAATCTTTTGTGTGGTATCTTATCCAAAGCTTTTTGAAAATCTAAGTACAATGAATCCATGCCCGTTTCTTCATCCAGATGACAAGTAACATTTTGAAATAAGATTTTCAGATTTGTGTGTGTTAAGGCAAGATTTCTCTTTAGTTTTTGTTGTTGTTTTTAATATCGCACTTCATTAATGATTGTTATAGCTCTATTTCACAAGACAAACATTTTTCACTAAATGGCTTATAGTTTCATGGGCATCTCTTAGCACTCGCTTTAAAATTGGAGTAACATTAGCAACTTTTCAAAGACTTGCCCATTTTCTACTGACCTACCAAACAGAAAAGAGAAAGGCTTTCATATCTGATATTTGGCCTCTCTTAAAACCCTTTTAGGTACTGGTCTTTTACCATCTTCAGTCTTCCTAACTACTACCAAAGAAATAATACCTATATGAATCAGGACTTTTCTAGTATTTCCCATAGAATATCATCAGTCTTCTCTTTTAAAAACAGAATAGAAGAAAAAAATTTTTAAGCTCAACAATCTCTTATTTGTCAACAATAACCTTGCTTTTAGTATCCTTTAAGGGCGTTATTCATATTCTAACATCTTGCCTACGTTTAACGTTCTTAAAAAACTCCTACTTGTTCTAACATTACCAGTTAGCTGTTTCTTATATTGAATTTGTTAATTTCTTTTTAAGCTTTCCTATAGTTTTGTAAATGTTCCATCCTATCCATCAATTTAAACTTTTCTCTTTTGTCATTTAGTAGGCCATTTTTTTTAGGAATCCTGTCTATCTTGAGTTAAAAGCAATTTATTTTTAAGTATTTCCCAAATTTGTCTCTCATCACATTTTAACTCATTATTCCGATTTATTAATGATAAACCTTGTTTCATGGCTTCAAAATTGGTTATTTCAAAATTATGAACTAAAATATAATTTATCTCCACATGTATCAAAACAATAAACCTAACTTACCAACAAAAAATCACTCTTCCCAATATGTTATTTTACTTCAACTAGTGGAATAACATCTTCATATGGTTAACAGTAGATCTAAAAATGTTATGATGATGAAACTGATACTATGCTTCCAATCCAAGTAAGTAGAAGCCTTCATCTAGTCAACATTACTAGATTTATGGATACAGTGTTACCTGAGAATGGGGGCAAGAGAGAGTCTTACTTTCTCTTTATGGAAGCAGTATCATTTTCTATGTAATTCAAAATACCTGTGTTTAGAATTTCTTTCATAAGCTTCATTCAATTTACAAACTTCCCAGCCATAAGGAAATAATGTCATGAGAAGACAAATGGTCAATGTCTTAAGGAAGATCCCCATGTTTCTGCTGTGAGTGATGATTAGAATAATAATCATAATTAAGGAGGAATAATAATTCTTAGTTAATTATTCATTCACAGACACTGTAGTTTATTGAGAATAATATCAACACATTCCTGCTAAGTTGGAACCATGAAAGGTACCATCTGTTAAAGATAGTAGGAAGTTCATTAGCATAATGTTGAACACCTTGAATACCCTCACCTTCAGTGTGTGCTGCTCAAGCAGTTTAATTATTCATAGGTGAGAACATGAAAACATTTTTAACACATCTTCACAAGGAAAAATAAATTATTTCAAAACAAATGAGTGAAAGTATCTACTTCAAAGCTGAACCAGCATTACATTTCAACTGTTACTGCAGGACTAGTTTTTATTCTCAATACTTGTGTTTGTGTGTACTATACATTTAATTGTGCCTTGCAAAAGTATTCACCCCTATCAATAATGTCACATTTTGATAAAATACAAATAAAGTAAACAGTTTTTCATTAATGAATGTGTTTTTTTTATTGAAAACTAATGATCAAGCTTTACACTGCTATGTGTGAAGGAGGTTCAATACCAGCAAAACCTGTAAAGGAAATATAAATTGAAATTTGCTGATTATGTAAGTATTCAGCCCCCAAAGTCAGTACTTGGTGGAAGCACCTTTGGCAGCAATTACTGCTGTGAGTCTTTTTGGATAGGTCTCTATCAGCTTTGCACAATGGGATGGTGATATTTTTGCTCATTCTTCCTGTTTGTTAGGGATCGTTGATGGACTGCAATCTTCAAGTCTCGCCATATATATATACCATTGGATTCAAGTCAGGACATTCACTTTCTTCTTTTGAAACCATTCCAGCCTGGCTTTGGCCTTGTGCTTCAGGTAATTGTCCTACTGAAATGTGAATTTTTGACCCAGTGTTAGATTCTTGACTGACTCAAGCAGGTTTTCCTCTAGGATTCACCTGTATTTTGCACCTTCCATCTTCCTCTCAATTCCGATAAACTTCCCAGTCCCTGCTGATGAGAAGCAACCCTATAACGTGATGCTGCCACCACCATGCTTGACAGTTGAGATGGTGTTGACTGAGTGATGTGCTGTGTAGGGCTTGTGGCAGACATAACGCTTTGAATTTAAACCAAAAGCTAAATTTTTGTCGCATTGGACCACAAAACCTTCTGCCACATGTGTGCAGTATCATTTACATGCTTTGTTGCAAACTCCATATGAGATTTAAGATGATTCTTTTTTAGTAATGGCTTCTTTCTTGTCACTCATCCATATAGGCCAGCTTTGTGTAGGGACTGGGATATTGTCAATGTATGAACACTGACTCCCATTTCAGACATGGAACTTTGGAAATCTTTCAAAGTCAGTGTTGGCTTCACAGTAGCACCCCTAACCAGTTTCTTGCCTGGATGCTTAGTTTGGAAGGGTGGTCTGATCTGGGTAGTGACTGGGTGGTTCTTGTAATCTTCTCCTGATCTGTGCTTCTATACCACTTTATCCTTGACTTGTTTGGAAAGCTCCTTGATCTTCAGGGTTGGTTTGTCATATGACTATGTGAGTTGTGGCTTGAACAGATGCATTTGTCTGAAGTCAAGTTAAACCATTTTGATTACACATAGACAGAGACCATTACACTAATTTTATGACTTTTCAAACTAATATTTTGCACCTGAACTGATTTAGAAAAGTTTTGAATACTTATACAATTGAGAATATTTTAATTTTCTTTGAAAATCTAACTTACATAATATCAACATTTTTTTTTAGCTTTCTCAGTTTGAAGTAGATCACGTAGATTCTAAATATATAGTCCCATTTGAAAGTTTCATGATTGAAAGCTCAGATGGCAACAAAATGTGGAAACATTGCAGGGGTGAATACTTTTGCAAGGCACTGTATATTTATGTATGTATCTGAACATTTTTGTCAAACATTTTTACATTTCAGATTTAACTAACAAGGTGCCTTAGATCAGCTGAATTGTGGGGTCTGATGCTTGTTTATACAGTAGGTTGTTTAACTAATTCTAAGGAAGGATTTCATCAACATTGTTCAAATGGAAGGTATGTATCTAGTGTTTTAATAATAACAAGCACAAGTATCCCCCCCTCCAAGTGACAGAAAAGTATAAGTTAATCTATCAATTTAAATTAGTTCATGGACTTTAAAAAAGTTAATTGTGTTGCACTCTTGGTTTCACTCAGAACCAAAGCTCTGAGCTACTTATACTGCCCACTCCAAAAAGTAATTGTTTAGCATTTCATTCATGTTAAGAGCAGTTCATCAATAACGTATGGTAAATCTACGTTTTTATTCTTTAGGTTACGTCACATTTGAAATGTGAATGATAATGTGATTAATTCCAAAGTTGGTAAGTTAATGTAGAATATCCTGCTTGAGAAGAAAAAAAAGTTGAAGCTTGTAGTTTTAAGAAGATGTATAAAAAAACAACAACTTTCTAATGAGAATGATTATTTAAGGGTTGTAATTAGGAGTGCATTGATTGAGGTTTCTGTGGCTGATAATGATAGTTACTGAACCATGTTGGACAGTACTGATATTTAATATTAATGTAATAATAAACTACTAAAACAAATAAAGTTTAATTTGTAGGTGATTTTTTTCTTATATTTATCATACAAATTCACAAATAGTACTTATTTGGTGTATATAGTTCAGAAAATGAATAAAAAGAATAACAGTCATAAAAGAGTTTTAGAAATATTTTCCATATGTGCTTATAGAAACAACTAACAAAATAAAAACACATTCATGCATTAACTTTTGAATTGTAACTGTATCTTTCATTAGTTGATAGTAGAAATTTTATACATTAACACAAAAAGTCAGGCTAAAAACTTTGCCATTTCCGACAAGAAACAAAACTATTGTGACAATTAGTAAGTTTCAATAATTTACTTATTTTCAAGTAATAAAGAGAAATACATCAGAATTATACTTGTGGCTTCATAGCTGTACTTTATGTGGTGAGTCTGTGAGCAGAAAGTTCTTTATAGAAGAGCAGTATTTCTGCTTTGTTGTACATCAGTGTGTTCCTCTTCTCATCCACAGAATGAAAGGCAGCACTTAACAAGTGTTTGCTATCAATGTTGCTGTATGAAGTAGAAAGAAGCTTCAAGACGGAGTGAAAAAATGGCCTTTGTTACCCTCCAACTATTGTAGTTTTTGTGATTCTTGGAAGTGTTAACTCACACAGGCAACTCAGCTTTTCGTTCTTTCTGTCTCTACCCTTTAGTGTTTTCTTCTAATGTTTTCTAGTGTTTTCTTCTGACTCAACTTTGCTGAACCATGTTTCTATTAAAGTAACTGGTTCTGACTCAACTTTGCTGAACCACGTTTCTATTAAAGTAACTGGTTCTGACTCAACTTTGCTGAACCACGTTTCTATTAAAGTAACTGGTTCTGACTAACTTTGCTGAACCACGTTTCTATTAAAGTAACTGGTTCTGACTGAACTTTGCTGAATCACATTTCTATTAAAGTAACTGGTTCTGACTGAACTTTGCTGAACCACGTTTCTA